GGGAAGGGAGGGGGAGGGGAGCAGGGCCGGATGTGGGATGGGGGGGCGGGGAAGGGGGGGGGGGGAGGGGGGCAGGGCGGGGGGGGGGGGGGGGGGCAGGGCTGAAGAATCTCTCCCCCCAAGAACGATTTGAGTTGGTGTCGCTGCCCCAGGGCTGCGCCCGAAGGGGGCCCGGCATGGAAAGGTTTGGGGGCCCCTGATCCCAGACACTTCCCTGGGCCCCCATTACCGTCATGTCGGAGCCCCCCCCGCGGCCGGGCCGGGCAGTTCCCCCCATCGGGCAGAGGGGAGCTGAGCGCAGACTAGGATCAACCTTGTGGAGATGGACCGAGGGACTTGCTCGAGGCCCCCCGGGGAGGCCGGCAGAGCAGAAAGCTGAGCCCGGGTCTCAGGCCAGTCGCTGGATCCCAGACCAGGCTCCCCCAGCTCCCCCGCTGCCTGCAGCGCCCCCTGCTGCTCCTGCGCTGAGCCTGCAGGACGGGACAGCTGGTCTCTGCCCTGGGCCTGACAAAGTGGCCCCTCCGGTGCAGGGAGATGCACTGATGGGGACGGCTGGGCCTGTCCTGTAGCCATGGCCCCAGGGCTCAGTCCAGCACCTTTCCCTGCCTGCTGTGACACTGCTGGGGGCCATATTGCAGGGCCGCGAGGTGCCTGACTGGCAGGCGCCATCTCTGACGCTCTCCTCTCTGTTCCTGGCGCAGGACCTGGGGTGCGGGGCCAGCCTGGGGGTGATCTCCGATAACCTGCTGGTGACGGGAGGCCAGGGCTGCGTCTCCTTCTGGGACATCGGCTACGGCGACCTGCTGCAGACCGTCTACTTGGGGAAGAGCAACGAGTCGCAGCCGGCCCGGCAGATCCTGGTGCTGGAGAACGCCGCCATCGTCTGCAACTTCGGCAGCGAGCTCAGCCTGGTCTACGTGCCCTCGGTGCTGGAGAAACTGGACTGAGGGGGCGGAGCTGGGCCCTGCGGGCCACCGTATCTGAGTTCTGATTGGACAGCACCTGGGGTGGGAGGACAGGGCAGGAGCTCCAGGGGGGTTCCCAGGAGAGAGCCTGCTTCTCCCTCCCTTCCTCCCCTTCCCCAGCTCCTTGGATCCCAGGCGCTCCCCCTGCAGCTGCTTGGGTGGGGCTGAGCCCTGCTCTGCCTGTGGCTCCCCCACCCCAGGCATCCCCCCGCCCTGCTCTTGCTCCGCAGGTCAGTTCCTCCCTTGGGGCTGCAGCTGAGCTCAGTGGGGATGGGACCGTGGGGCAGGAAGCCGGTGCTGTCACCAGCTGGGGGATTCCCTGGGGAAGCTACCAGCGGCCCCGGCACATCCCTGGCTGGGCTGCACAGCAGGTGGCCGGAAGACCGAGGAACAGTCAGTGGGATGGGGCTTAACAGAGCCTGGGCCGTGCAATGCCGTGGGCTTGGGGAGCATGGGGGTCCAGTGCCCATGGGGCTGTGACGGTAGACAGGGGAACTCCTGCTACAGCTGGGGAGGAGGCTGCGGGCGGGGCCTAGTGGTCTGTTTGTGGGATGGGGAGCCTGGCCCTGCTGTGTCCAAGGCCGGGCTTGGCTGCTGCCTCCAGCTCTCCGTGGGATGTTTCTGCAGCTGTGAAGCAGGCAAACCCTGCCCTACCTCCTGAAGACACGAATGCCTGGAGAATGTGGCCCAGTGCTTAGGGGGGGCACTGCCCAGGTCAGCCACGGGGCTCTCCGGCACGGGGAGAGGGAGCCCGCGCCGGCATTGCTAGGGTGGCCATAGCCCCACTGTGCGAGGTGCAGTACCAACACGGGTGCCAGGCCTGGGTCCTGGTTCCCCTCTACCAGCAAGGCCTGTGCCCCACAGGGCAGGGCAGGGGCCGTGTATGTTACAGTGTGTCCCCCTAAGGCAAGTGAAATCCCGCCCATGGCCAACGGGCATTTCCTGCAGTGAATAAGGGCAGCTTAGACCCTAGAGGGGATGGGGCCTCAGCCCCCCCTTGTGTCCTGGCTGGCATTCAATGCCCACTGCCCCTGTGCTTCCCCAGCACTGCCTGCAGGTGCGGGCCCTGCCCAGGGAGGGGTGCCGGGGCCAGAGCCTTCAGCTGTGGGCATGGGCTCGCTGGCCCAGGGGGATCCCCTGCTCACCTGGCTTGGGCTGTGACAGCGTGCAGGGCTGGGGACTGAGGGGGGGGGGTGTTAATTCACTGGCTGTTGTAGCTCAAGCAGGCGCCGTTAACCAGCTCCTGCACTCGCCCGGTCACAGAAAAGGGGGGCAGTGCTGGCGGCCGATTGGGCGGGGGGGGGGGGGGGTGGGGAGCGGGGAAAAGAAGCGGCCGCCCCCCCCCCCCCCCTCCTGCATTAGCACTGGGGTCCGTCTCCCTGCCTTGGAACGAGAAGGGCGTGGTGGGCTCTGCCCTGGAGAGCCCTGTACGCCCACATCACCTGCCCTATTTATTGCTATGCTGTATATACTTATTTATTACGGTGGGTGAGCCAGGGGCCGGCCTGCAGCCCATGGCCAGCGCTGTCCCAACCGCAGCAAATGCCGGCAGCTCCCCGCTGCTCTGGGGCACCAGGAGCCTGGCATGAGCCGGGGGCAGCTGAACCCTCTGGCTGCTGGCACAATAAAGGGGCATGCATTGGGACAGGACATGCGTGTAGGGGCTGGGAACTGGGGCAGCTTCCCTGAGCTCTTGGAACCTTCCCCCCCCCCCAGTAAGTGGTTGGCTTTGTTGGTCTCTGGAGGAGGGCGGCTGCACCATCGCCCCCTGCTTGGGGGCCAGCCCTTGAGCTTTCCTGACCCCATGGGCAGGGCCCCTCTGTCCAGACACCGGATGGGCTGTGAAGCCCTCTCCAGGGGAGATGTCGCCGCGAGCATGGCTGCAGGCCCAGCAGCCAGCACGTGCCATGGAACCAAGCAGGGCTTTTCCATCGCTGCTGTCGGAGCAGTCTCCCGGCCCAAGGAGCCATGGGACCCGTGGTGCTGGGAGCCCAGATCTGGCCTGATCACGTCATTGACGAAATGAGCCTATGGCATAAGCTGGCATCTGTCTTCCCCACAGCGGGGACAGTCACCACCTCTGCTCAGCACAAACCACAGCCCCAGGGAGCCTGAACCTGCCTTGGGCACGCATACAGGAGCCTCCAGCACCCAACCTGGTTTCCCTGGGAATGGGAGAAGGCACCTTCCCAGGCCACGGAGCCGCATGCAGGGGAACAGGCACCATGTCTGTCCTCAGTACCAGCACTGGGAGTGATGGCAGAGGGGTTCCCCAGGGCCTCCTCCTGGCTTGCTCGCCAGTCTAGTGTCTGCTCTGGGGAAAGCCTGGCCTGTGGTGACCACAGCATGTGAACACTTTGTGAAGAGAACAGGAAGCTGGGGAGGGGGGGGCGGGAGCCTGGCTTGGTTAGCCATGCGGTCAGGCCTTGTGAGGCCATTGGTCAGTAGCTGGGGGGAGCCCTACAGGTGAGGATCCCAAAGGGTTTATTTCACTCTACATGTTTGACAGCAGGACGTGCTGCTCAAGCGCCTGTTTGTGTGTAATGTAATGCTGTGCCTGTAGAGACCCACTGAGGCTGAGTGCTGCTGAGAACTAACCTCCCGCCCGCCTCAGCAGTGGGGCAGGCAAGCTGAGGGCCCAGACAAGGCTGTGGCTCTGGTGGGACCTGCAGTATGGGAGCAAGCTGGCCCCTGCAAGTTCAACCACCGCTGCAAGCAGCTTAGGGGGTGTGTGTGTGGGGAGCCTTTCCTGGGCCCGTGGGCTGTGTGCTCGCTTGCTGATGCCCTGGCTGTGTCTGTCCTGCCTCGGGTGGCCTTAGCCCTGCTGTACGCTTTGTACTGTACAGTGGAAGCTTTTTTGTACCAGATTGTGTTTTATAACCTGTACAAAGACACATTAAACCAAACTAACCGAAACCCAGCGGCTCCGCCTGCTCCCTACTCCGGGGGGCTGGCTGACAGCGCCGGCTTCTGCAATGCGTCAGCGGCAAACGCAGTGCAGCACTTCCTGGGGCTTGGCAGGGAGCAGCTCTCTGCTGTCCCGCGGGTGAAACACGTAGCGACAGCCCTGCCAGTGCGCACAGGGGCTGTGCTGACCTTTACCCCCACCCCAAAGACTGGCTCTGAGTGCTGAGGCACCAGCCCACGCCATGGGCAGCCCAACACTCAGGGAATCTTCAGTGCAATGGGCCCCATGAGTGACTGCGTTGGCACTAGCTCAGCATCACCCCCCTGCCAGCACTGCAGAGGGACGGGGGTACGGCCCGGGGTGCTGGCTGAGCACCTCACCTTGTGCCCTGTGCTGCTCCATGGCCCCCTGCTGCCCATGCTGTGACGGCACATCCCAGGTGACTAGCCCCGGGCCCCTCACACTACAGATCAGCTCGTTTGCTTAGCAGAACCATGCGCTGCTGTTTGATGCAGGCTTTTACTCATGAGAACAGCCAGCCTGGGGCAACCTAATGGGCCAGCTACTTCTGGCAGGCAGAGCCTTAAGACACCGAGTATGGGGTTGTATCCCTGACCCTTGTGGCTGATAGCTGTCAATGGCCTGCTCATTCTGTCTTAAACATTAGTGTCATTTTGGCCTTCGCCCTGTCCCCTGGCAAGGAGTTCCACAGGTCTGCCTGTTGCATGAAGTGCTTCCTTTTAAACCTGCTGCCTAGTAATGTCATTGGGGGACCCCCCCCCTCAGATTCTTGAGTTATGTGAAGGGGTAAAAAACACTTCCTCCACAGCAGTCACGAGTTTATAGCCCTCTGTCATAGTCCCCCACCTTAGTTGGCATGGCTATAAGCTAACCCAACCCAGGTTTTGTAATCACACCTTCGAAGGATTCTAGTCCGGGGCCCTCCTGCACTGGCCCATTTTGAATTCTAGTGTAGTTTTCTGAGCTGTGGTGACCAGCTCTGCACCCAGTGGTTGCGGTGTGGGCGTACCGTGGAGTTATAGTAGGGTAGTATAGTGTCTGGTTTTAGTCACTCTTTCCCCATTGTCAGCTGTTTGCCTCCCACGGCCCCCTAGGCGGCTGCTTTCCAAGAACTATCCATGCTGGCACCACCAACCTTTTCTTGAGTAGTAACAGCTGATTTAGAGCCCATCTGTTACAGCTGTCATGGGGATGTCTGCCCATGTGCATTACTTTGCATATAGAAGCATTGAATTTCAGCTGCCATTTTTGTCACCCAGGCACATGCCAGCTCTTTGTAACGCTTCCAACAGCTTTTGACTTTAGCTTGAATAATTGTGTATCTGTTGCAAGTTTTGCCACCTCACTGGCCCCTTTCCAGCTCTTGTTGAATACAGTGACCAGCCCTGGTCCCCAGACAGCTCCTTGGGAGACCCTGCTATTTACCATCCCCCTGAAAGCCCTGCAGAAAACAGTCCTGCCAGCATGAGCTGCATGGTTCTGGGGCACCCCAACCAGATGCTTCACCTACTTCCCCTCACTTAGGTCTGGGCCACTGGGGGTCTAAGTACCTCACATGAGGCACACGCTGGAAAAAAAAGGCCGTGATTCCAATCCCCAGGGGCCCTCCCCTCAGCCCTGGGAGAGCTATGCCACAGCCACAGTCCTTCGCCCCAGCAGTACTACCTTGCACATTGGCCTAGACCCATTGCCTCAGTCCGTCTGCAGCTGGGCGCTGGTGAGCAGATGATTTGGCACTTATGAAAGCTCCCCCCCCCAACAGGTCCCTGGAGGAAGCACCAGGAGGTGAGCTCAGGCTCCAGCCCTACTTGACTTACAAAATCCCGCAGGCCGTCCAACAGGAAAGGGGGAGAGGGGCTCTGGGCCTCAGCTGTTTCCCAGCTTGGCCATGGCACAGGATTCCCCCATCCCCAAACTCCACCAGGGTTTAATTCAGGTCCACAACTCCCACTACGGCTCCAGAGCAAATTGTCCATTTATTGGAGTAGCAAAGAGCTGAAAAAGTCAGTTCTAATTACAGAGTCAGATCAGAACATGGGGACGGACAATGTTACATTTGTACAAAAGCAGAGGACCCGAGAGCCCCAAGGGGCACCGGCAGCACACGCTCCAAGGCCACGCACCGTGGCCATTTCTGCCCGGCGCCGCTCAGCTCCGTGGTCGGCCTGCACTGCCCAGCCCAGGCTGCCGGAGGCACACGCAGCAGCACCCACAGGGCCCAGCACTGAAGCCTGGGGGGAGGGGGGAGAGGAGGCGCTGTACAGTATGAGATGCACCCAAGAGCCCCAGCAGGCGAGACGCGGGTGGGAACTAGTTAGCTAAGCAATCGAGGTCCCATCCCCCCGCCGTACTGGGCTTGCTAAGGACACGCTGACCTGGTCTCCTGCTGCTGCCAGTTCCAGCCAGTCCCCATAGCTCAACAGAGAACAAGCCCAGCTCCTGGGCAGCAGCTGGCCTGGCTGCCACCCCCGGGGTCCTGCCCAGGAGCATCCATCTTCTGGTGCCTTCCCATAAGCTCTGCGCAGGAGAACCCAGCCCAGCAGCACCAGGATTTCCCCCCTCAGCTGGGATCCCAGCAGCCCCAGGGGGTGGACACTGAATCCATTTCCATGCACGGCCCGTGCCCCTACTCACCTCTGGAGCTTCCAGCCCGAGCCGGTTAGCCAGCGCCTCGGCAAGAACACCTCGCGCCCAGCGGCGAGAGCTCGGCCCGAGCAGCAGAGCTTGGGGCAAGGTGCAGAGAATCAAAGCTATTTCAGAGCCCAGGAATGACCCATCACCGATTTACTGTCACATGCGCCAATCCCCCCCCGCCCCACCGCATGCAGCAGCTCCCCGCGTACTCACAGCTACGATTTTCACCCTCCCCAGCCCTGCTGCCAGCAAACCCAGCTGCAAAACTGCATCAGGCGCCTGCCCCGGGCCTGGGGTTTGTACCCAGCAGTGTTAAACCGCCAGGTTACCTGGGCTGAGCGCGCCAGGCCCAGCCCCTGCCCACGCTGTACCAAGCCCCTGCCCTTCACAACTGGCCGACCACAGCAGGAGACAGAGCCCAGGCGTGTAACCCCGGGCACCCCGTCCCAGCAGCAGGGTGAAGCCTGCAGTACACGCTGTGCAGCCCAGGGGGCAACACTGAGGCAGAAGCTAGGGGAGAGAAGCGCTGAGGGAGGCGCCACCACATTGCTCAGGCAGGGCTGGCGGCCGTCCCTGGGCCAGGGTGGGGGAGGAATTGCTCAGCTCTCGCCCAGCGCCAGAGCAAGAAGCAGGGAAGGGCAATTGGGCACCGCGAGGGGGAGCAGGGAGCCATGGTGCAGCCCGAGAGCCGGACGTCCCTCCCCAGGCTGGGACAAGCCTCACTGCAGCTGGGGGCTCTCGGCCAGCATCCGAGCCGAGGGTCCTGCCTGGAGAGCCGCCAGGGGCACAGCGCAGATCCGTTCGCCAGGCCCGAGCAGCCCAGGGGCCCAGGCTCTGGGCCATGCACCCGTTCAGCTCCGTCCCCTGGGCTCTGTGAATGGAAGACCAGGAGGCACTGCAGGGCCGGCTCCTGGCCCAAGGCAGGAGCAGCAGTGGGGCCAGCTGTGCCAGAAGGGACAGGGGCCGCCTCTGCTGCCCCAAGGCCATTCTCCCACCAGGAGGGGCTCTGGGACAAGCAGCAGCTCTGGCCTGGTGCAGGACTGGAGGGGCTGGGGAATGGCTGGCTCTCCATGCCGTGGGGGTCACCCCGGGCTAGCTGCCAGGGGGGCCCAGGCACTGAGTGGGGAGCTGGCATGTAGTGCTGTGTGTGCATTTCTCACCCCTCTCTGCTGCCCAGGGCTGAGCGGGGACAAAGGCTGTGGTCCAACACCCCAGTTTCCAGCCATCACGCTGGGGGGCTCCCCATGGGCCGTGCTGGCATGGCCAGGGAGGGGCTGTGCGTGCCCATGTCCCAGCCGGGCCCCCACGGCTCAGGTTTTATTGAGTGTCCACAGCGGGTCCAGCATGCTGAGGGGGTCGTCGCTGGGCCGGGGTCCCCGCAGCCCCTCCCCGTTCTGGGGCTGCAGGAAGCTCTGCTTGTTCATCCGCGGCTTGCCCTTCAGGGAGCTGTCCAAGGAGAAGGCCTCAGGGGTCAGTGAGGCCAGGAGCTCCAGCGAGGAAGAGGAAGGAGCCAGGCTTGTGGCTGAAGGCTCCCTGCTGGGTCTCTCCTCCACATGGTTGCTGCTCTCGGCTTCGGGCGGCGGCACAGGCATGGTGGGGGCGGAGTGGGCGGGGGGCAGCTCGGCACTGGTGGGGGGCACGTGCTCCGTCAGGCTGGGCTGGGCGACGCTGGCGGGTGCTGCAGGAACCGCCCCTGGGCTCACGGCTTCGGGCACTGCTGCTGGCTCGGGCAGCTGCCAGTCTGGGGGAGGCTCTGGGCCGCCCCCGGGGGGCTTGATGCTCAGCTTGGCAATGGTGGCCTGGATGGAGCTGATGGGCATGTCCCCGCCCAGCACCAGGTCCTGCGGGTCCTGATGCAGGTACAGCTGAAAGAGAAGCAAGAGGTCAGCCCAGGCCCCTCCCTCAGACAGGCCCAGCCCGCCCCCGCCTGGAGACTAGACTGCCCTGCTCCAGTCAGCGTGGATCAGCCACCGGAGCCACAGCAGTGAGGCCGCTCGGCCTGGTGCTGCCAAGCTCTGGCCACAGGGGCCCAGGAGCCAAGTGGAGGATGTCTCCAGAGCCCCGCTCTGCCCAGCGCCGGTACCCACCTTCTGGGCAGCACTGCTGGGGGGCTTGCTGGAAGCCGGCGTGGTGACCCCGTGTCTCTGCAGCACCTGCTCGGCGTGCTTGAGGACAGCTTCGTAGCAGAACTTGAGGTGCAGCTGGAAGAGAAGCAGCCGGCGAGATCCCTTGAGCCCGGACACGCCCAGGTGCCAGGAGCGGCCAGAGCCGAGCAGACTCTGTGCCATTCAAAGGGCGGCATGGCACTGCTGAACCAGGTGCCTGGGCCCCCACCTCCCCCCAGCACATTACCTTCTCCTGCAGCATGTGCTTCCTCTGCTGCCGCATCCTCTTCACCAGCTGGGCCAGGTCAGGGATGCTGTTCCCGGCCTCCACCTCCTGCATTGCTGCGTACATCAGGCAGAAGGCGCCAGTGCGCCCCACCCCAGAGCTGGTGGGAAGAGACAGCGCCCGGGGGCATCATTGGGGAACCCTGCCAAAGCCTAGGTGAGCGGGAGTGGGAGACTAGGAAGCCCCCAGCCCCTTCCCCAGCACTGCATTGTGGGTAGAGTGCCCCTTCTCCCCAAGGGCCAGATCCTGGGCCGGGGTGTCCTCTGCCACGCACGGCAGGGCTGCAGTCTGGCTTGGGGACTCCTGGGGAAAGAGCCAGCCCTGCAGCCTCCCAGCAATGCACTGGCTTTCTACCCTGGGCTCTTGCTGGCCTCGGAGGGAGGTTTGCTCCAAACGGGGAGGACGCCCGCCCCACCCCCGTGCCCCGGCAGAGCACCTGTCGGGGGAGAGCTGGTGCTCGCGCGGGTCGCTGCTTTGGGCCCAGACGGCTGCAGCGCTCTGCTCCCTAGCTCGGGCCGAGCGGCGAACCCGGCCTTACCTGCAGTGGACCACGATGGGGGTGTGCAGGGGGCGCTGGTGCAGGTAGTGCCCGTGTACTTCCTGGATGAACCGCAGCAGGTTCCCCTTGCTGTCGGGCAGGCCCCTGCAGGAGGAAGGGAGGAGCTGCTGGCAGGTGGGCAAGGACCTGCCGTGCCCAGAGCCAGAACCTGGCCTGCCAAGCCTTGCAGGGGAGGGTTTCTACCCCCATCCCAGGAGCTGGGTGCTCGAGGGAGGTGCCACGCTCCTCCCAGTGGGACAGGGCCCGATTTCCCCTCTCCCCCCGGGGGCCTGGTAGGGTCTACAGTGCCACTAGTGAGATCGTGCCACCCCACAGAGCCCTGGGGGGCACCAGCTGGGAGGGAACAGCAGCTCTGCCCTAGGGCAGCGCCTGCAGCCCAGCCCCTGGGGTGGGAAGTTCTGATCTAATCGGCCGGGAGCCCCCAGGGCCTCCTCCCCCCGCCCCGCGGCACGTACAGCTCAGGCCAGGCTGTGAACTGCAGGTGGATGACGGTGCGCTTCAGGCTCTGGTCGCGGAACTGCAGGGTGATCATCCGCTCCACGTGCGTCGGGGCCACCTTCAGGCTGGTGAGGATCAAGGTGATGGGACCCTGCACCATGGGTTGGCCCCGCTCCTGCGGGAAGTACCGCACCACCTTCTGCTGCGGGGCGAGAGACCGGTTCAGCACGCGGAGCCCAGAGCCCAGGAGCACAACACAAGGAGTGGAGCCCAGACCACCACTGCCCAGCGCCCCCAGCCCAGAGCCACCGGGGCCCCCCCAGCCTGCAGCCCAGACCACCACCGCACCCCCAGCCCAGAGCCACCGGGGTCCCCCCAGCCTGCAGCCCAGACCACCACCGCCCCCACTCCCAGCACAGCCCCCCCAGCCCAGAACAGAACACCAGGACCAGAGCTCCCGAGGCCCTCCCTGCCTGCAGCCCAGAACACCCCCCACTCCCCTCGCCACCCCAGCCCAGAACACAAGGCCAGGGCCATCCTGCCCCAAGCTCAGGGGGACAAACCAACAAATTGCCCAGAGGAACTGGCAGCCTTGGGGCCCTGGCCAAGTTCCTCTCTCAGTTGTTACCAGCTGCCTTCCCAAACTCTCCCCTGCCACGCAGTCACAGACAGACACAGCATCCTTCGCCTCCTGGCCTGAGTCTAGTATAGTGATGCTGTGGGTTGATCAACACCGTCATGTTCCACCCAGAGGTGGCTGCATTTCAGGGCCAGGTGCCATTATTCCGGCACACACCATCCCGGATGGAAGATGCCAGGTGTATGTTACTTGCCCCCGTAGCTGTGGATGGTACAGCCCTGGGGGGGTCTCTAGCTTGGGTGGGTGGATAAGCAACCCAGCACTGTCTCCTGAACACTGACACACAGGCGACGTCTCCCACCCCTCAACCTGGGGGGTTCTCCACAGCCTCGAATCCCCCCTTCCTGGGACCCATTCAAGCCCCTGTGGCATTGCCGCTGTCACCTTCAAGGCAACGCAGAGTGCCCACCACCAGGCTCCATGCCAACACCCGGCCGGAACTGGCCAGGAGCTCAGCTTTCGAGAGAGACCATCCCCACCTCGCTCAGTTTGTCTGGCCGGAAGGACCTCGAGAAGTCATCAAGCCCACCCCACCATGCTGAGGCAGGACCAAGTAAACCTGGACCATCCCTGACAGGGGTTTGTCCAACATGGCCAATGCCAGGGATCCACCACCTCCCTGGGACGCCTGATCCAGGGCTTAACGACCCTGTTTGTTCGAAAGCTTACCCTAAGACCCAGCCTACAGCTCCCTTTCCACAAGCCGGTTCCTTCTTGCCCCACCCTTGGTGGGCATGGAGAACTATTGATCACCGTCCACTTTACCAGCCCCCTCACAGAAGCTGCCGGGTGAGAAAGTCCTGCCCTGAGGAGCTCCTGGAGATCCTACCTTCTCTATTTCCTGCTCCGAGACCAGCATGACTATGAGGGAGACCTTCTGCTCGTAGATCATCAGCCAGAAGTCGGAGGCCGTCCCCACCAGCGGGGCCTGTGTGGCGATGATGGTGGGGCAGTAGGAGGACAGGTCCTCCACCTTGCTGGCGTTGATGTAGTCGTCCTTGCCCGACTGCAGAACGATGCGGTTCTTGTCGTAGGGCATGATGTCCTGGTGGCGGTTTTTCATGGAGTAGCAGCGGGCGATGGCGATGGACAGCTGCCGGGCATCCCTCTCCTGGGCATCCTGGAGCTCCTTCCAGATGGCGTCCAGCTCGGGGACGCTCCTGGGGACGGGCCTCTCCAGACTGGCCACCATGCCCCGGAACCGATCCAGCTCGGACAGCAGCCTCATGATGTGCTCGGGCTTCTCGTACGGGTCGTTCTCGATCAGCTGAACGGCCTTGGGTTTGTGCCCCTCCTTGGCGTCTGCCTTGGTGGGCTGCAGCAGCGGCTGGTTCACCGCCGTCTTGGAGCCCCCGTGCTGGCTCTCAGGGCTCGAAGACAGGAGATCGTCCGTGGAAGAGCTCTGCCGGTGGAACTGGACCTCGGCAGGGCCCTGTGCCAGCGGGGCCGCGCTGGGGGTGAGCGATGGGGGGGGTCGCTGTGGCAGGGCAGGGGCGCCGGGCACTGAGGAAGGCAAGATGGCTGGAGGTTGGATAGCCAGGGATGGCTGGGGGGATGGCGCCGGGGAAGGGATGGCAGGACCTGGGACAATAACGCCGCCTGGCATCTGGCTCAGAGCGGGACTGGGGGAAGACGGGACATGGTGAGGGCCAGACTGACTCGAAGATGGGGGCTGGGGACCAGCCAGTGGCATGGCAGAGCCAGGCGGCAGCTGGTTTGTAGGGGGCCCCGGATGGCAGGCAGAAGGGGCAGGACAATAGGGCATCGCAGAGACCACTTGAGCGGAGGTGCCGGCTGGCATGGGCTGCATGCCGGCCAGCGAGGGGCGAGGGTGGAGCTGCTGAGCCGGGGCCACCATAGTGCCTGGGAGGCTCTGAGACAGCGGGGGAGGCCCGCGGGGCATAGCTGCAGGGAAGGCATGAGGGGCGTTGTCCTGGGAAGGAAGCGGGTAGAGCTGTGTTCTCAGCTGGCCATGGATCTGGGCATGGCTGGGAGGCTGGGGAGAAACGTGGGCCAGCCCCGAATGCTGGCCAGGGAACTGGGTCGGGAACTGGGCCTGCGGCTGGTACATGGGCAGCGGCTGGAGCTGGGCCTGACCCTGAGGTGGGTACTGCTGCTGGGGGAAGCTCGGAGCGGGCGGCCCCGCTGGGAACGGGGGCTGCTGGCCGAACGGCTGGATGCCGCCTTGGGCGTAGGGGAACTGGGCGGGCGGGCCAAGGAAGCCGCCCTGAGGAGGGAGCCCAGGCGGGAGGCTGGTGAGCCGCGGGGGCATGTGCCCGCCCATGGCCCTGGGCGCGGTGTAGCTGGAAATGGGCGCCTGGATGCTGTCGACTGTTGTGGTGGCCGGGCGGACCCCAAGGGGGTGAGGAGGGCCGTCGCTCCCTCCTGGGGCCTGGCCACTGAACCGGGGGGGCTGAGGCGGGCCCATGGCTGTGGGGAGGCCGCCTGGCAGAGCCCCGCAGGAGGAGACCGGCTGCCCCATCCTGTAGGTGGCACTGGGGGTGATGGGAACTGGAGCAGAGCCAGGCATGGGCACATGCTGGGGGGAGGATCTCTGGGGAGGCACCGGAGGGACTGCGTAGCCGGGCTGAATGGGGGCAGGGGCGGGGCTGGGGTGCCCAGGGTCTCTCCGCAGGGCGCCAGCCGGGTACAGCTGAGGGCTGGGTGACGGGGCAGAACTTGGAGGCCTGTGGGGCTGCATCACCTGGGCCGGCAGCACAGGGGACCCGCTGTAGGTCTGTGGGGGGAAGGGGCCTTGCAGAGGGCTCCCAGGGGCACCTTGCGGGGGGGTCGCCAGGCGGCCGGGGAAGTAGTGTCCCGGCAGAGGCGCCGAAGCACCGAACTGAGCAGGGATAAAGGGAACGCCAGGCTGAGCTGCCATCGGCAGCTGTATCGGCGCATTGGCTGTCCGTGCGCCAGCCGGGAAAGCCTCCGGGCCTGGGGGCCTCATGCCACCGCCGCTGAAGGCCGGGTTGATGGAGAAGGCAGCCAGGGCGTCTGCAGGCAGCCTGGTGAGATGCGCTGCCAGCACGTCAGGGGGCAAGCTCCGGAGCTCTTCCGGCAGGTCGGCCAGAGAGAGGGAGCCCAGCTGCTGTAGGTCTGCTCCATCCAGGCCGGCCGCGAGGTCCAGGTCCCGCTCAGAGGCCTTCTTCTGCAGGGCTGGTTTGGGAGCAGTGGGCCTTGGAGGCGGCTTCTTCTTCATTTCTCTGCCAAAGCAAGACCAGGCACGTGATGCCAACCAGCCTCGCGGTGCCGGTGTTTGGAGCGGAGAGGGTGTGCGCTCCCTCACCCATCCACCCAGCTCTAAGTGCCGGAGTCCCAGGTGCTGGCAGAAGGTACCTCCAGCCTCTCCTGCAGGGACCCCCCTGGGAGGGGAGAGGGGTTTGGGCTCTATCGCTGAGATAGCCAGCGGCAGTGGCGGATTCTGCGCCCTTGACACCCAGCTGCGGCTCTAGGGTCCGATTTCATCCCCAGGCCCTATCGTGGTCACTGTTAAGGGCTCTCTTGTGCCACTCGGTCTCTGCACCGCTCCTAGTCCCCCTCCCACGCTAGGGGACTTGGGGGAGCCTGAAAGAAATACCCCAACATTCGGGTTCTCAGCTCCACGGCATGCCCAACCCCCACCCCAAGAAACATGAACATGGCAAATGAGCTGACCACTGCAGAAGGCCAATCAGACGCAAGGAGTAGCAGAACTCACCCCCCACCCTCCAAGGTGGAGCGGACGTGGGGCAGTGACCTACCTTTCCAGGACCTGCTGCCGGCTTGTTTCGGATGCTTGGCAGGACGCTCGGGCCTTCTCCAGGAGCTTGGCTGCTTTGCTCTCCAGATCCGCGTAGAAATCTTTCCCCTCCTGAGACTTCTTCATCAGGTCTTCGTAGGCTTCATAGGAGGCCACCAGTGTCTGCAGCGTGGTGTTCCACCTGGAAGAGTCAATGCAGGGTATGCAGTGGGGGGAGCGATATTAACAGAGCAGTCCTGGAAACCAGGGGGGATGTGCGGGGGAGGGGGGGGGAGAGAAGATGAGAGCAAGGCTCACTGGCCTCTAGGTGGCCCACCTCCAGGGTTGGTTTGTTTACACCACAGCCACGGCACCTGCACATTCCAATCAGGGACACACCCGTGGGGGGCCCAGGATTTCCTCTCCTCCACTGACCGCCCCCGGGGACCACCCCTCTGGTTTATAGTTGAACCAGTCTCAAAGCAGACAAACTCAAACACTAGGGCCTGCTGGGGGGCAGCCTATGGGCGCCCTGGGGTTAGCGTCATGGGGCACGGGAGGCAAAGTCAGCAGCAACCACCACAGGCCCAGCTGGGATGTGGATCTCTGTAAAGGGAAGAGTGGAGGGGCTGGCGACCCCACCCCTTTCCCCGCATCACGATGCTGCCTGGGCCGGCCGAGAGGTGCTAGCGCGCACAGAGCGAGCGTCTGGCTTCGGGCTGGCTGGGGGGCATTCCCCACTGGAGAACGGGAGATGGCAGACCCTGGCCGAGGGCTGGGATCGTTTTACGCAGCACAGGGATAGCGCTGTGTGCTGGGAGCAGACTCTGCCACAGCGACCGCCGCTGCCCCCTGCAGGCGATGCCATGCTCCCCGCGCACTCACTTGTGCTCCACCTCGGCCAGGACCTTCCGCACCGCCGCATACTTGACGTTGGCGTCCGTCAAGGCCTTCAGGACGTTCTCCTGGGCCGCCAGGTTCTGCTCCAGATACACCTTGATCTGGTCGTACTTCTTCAGCTGCTCTTCAAAGAGCTTCTGTCGGGGCGAGAGGAGCGCGCTGGGGTCAGTGGGAGAGCCGGGCTGCAGCGCTAGCCTGGGGGGCTCAGCGGGGAACCCCACAAGCTGAGTGCGGGGAGGGCTGGGGCTGACTGACAGCAAGTTCAATGGGAAGTTCCCACTGACAGTGGCAGGAAGAGGCCACAATAGAAGCATGATGCATAGCAGGGCGCAGCAAGGCCCTCGGTGTGACTCGGGGGGGCACCGCAGATGCCACCATCGGCTCTGACCAGAGACACTAGCGCACTGGAGAGTGCAGAGAGCAGCGGAAACGGCCCAGGAGCTCAATCAGCTCCAAAGGGGATGTGACCGTGGCCGGCAGGCAGGGACAGGGAGTAACAGCGAGCGGGGGTGGGGTGGGGGGGTTGACGTCCGTTTGGAACGTAATAGGCTCAGCTCAATCCCAGAGGAGGCAGCAGCTCGGCACTCTGCCCCGGGCCTCACCCTCATCTCTGAGCGGTCGGTCGTCACTAAGGAGGTGGTGATGTCGTCCTTCTGGATCATCTCACGGAGCTGCTGCTCCAAGGACATCCGCTGGTCCTTCATCTCCTGCACTTTGGACAGGATCCGCTTCAAGTTCTGCAGCACCTGCTTGTCGTCTGTGGGAGGAAGGAGAAAGCCATCACCTGGGGGCGCTCCCACAGGCTTCATATTGCAGTCACCCGGCTCACCCCCCCGGGGGAAAACGATCCCTAGCATGGGCAGGTACCGCTCCTGTTGGTGCCAATGGAACCTGGCCCCCTGCTCCAGGGCTAAATTTGACCCTTGCTCAAGACGCGCTGTGGGGTCCGAGAGCCAAGCCCCCCCAGGAACAGTCTCCAGCAGAAATTCAGCAAACTGGCGATGCTGAGGCACCACCGAACCCAGCTCGCTCGCCCAGCCCTGCAGCAAGACAGGACGAGCAAGCTGCTGGCGTCAGATCGGACTCTGCCCCAGGGAGCAGATCCGGGGTCTCAGCCAGAGCGATGGGGTGCCATTAGCTGGAGGCATTCTGCCCTTTATACTCCACCCATCACCCACAGATCTGATCCTCGGGCGCCAGGATCCGCAGCAAAGCTTTGCCGTCCCCGTTAATCCAAGCCATGCGGCAGGCCGTGCGCTCACGGCGCTGACTGGCCAGTTAATACTACCCCCCTGCAGCCAGTCAGCTCTGCCCGCATTGCCTGGAGGTTCTCCCAGCTCTGGAAGTCTCAGCGTGTCTCTGAGCCAGCCGGGGGGTGTGTCTCTGTCTGCGTTCCAGAGCTCGGAGCCTGGGTAGATTGGAAATTTCACCTGGAATCGAGATCCAACCTGCCTCCTGATCCAGCCTCTGTCCCCATCACTAGCTCTTCATCTGACCCCGCAGGCTGGGAACCAGCAGAGCACTGCAGAGGGACCCAGCTGGAGCCCAAAGCATGGGAGGGACAGGGCCAGGAGGGAAGGCACTGGCTTGGGGCCCACAACAGGAGCAGATTCATTCTTCTGGGGGCAGCGAGAGCCAGGGAAGACCAAGGAAGGAGACTAGCGTGGATCTCGGCATTAACGCCTCCTCGGCGCAGCGAGGGACTCGAACAGCGGCAGGCCAGCAAGCCAGGCGCAACTCAGCCCCAGCCAGAGCTCTCCTAGGGAGGGGCGAAGCTCAGTATGCCATGGCCCTAGGCGCTCACCTTCCGTCAGGGCCGGCGCGGGCAAGGCAGCCCGCACCTGCTCCAAGGGCCCGCTCAGCAGTCGCAGGTTGCTGATGTGCAGGTTCATGGCTTTGTGCAGCTCTGTGTTGGTGAAGCTGGCCTTCTCGTGCACCTCCATGTACTTGGCCCACTCTTTGCTGACCTCAGCCAGCCCCGGGGAAGGGCTAGGAGGAGAAGCCGGCTTGCCAAGCAGCTCCTGCAGCTTCTGGTCCTGCCGCTCGTCGTCATCCAGGAGGTCCCTGATCTCTTTCAGAGAGGCCTCCACGTCTGTGAAGACTCCCGAAAGCACTGGAGGGGCAGAGAACCAGAGGCATTAGGACACTGGCGGCGTTTCCAGCGAGGCTGGGCAAGGCCCCGGAGCGCGACTGGAGACCGAGCCAGCTCTGCCTGGGGGTGCAGCGAATGGTCCCGTTCGTCCCAGTGAAATTAGCAAACTTCACCAGCATACCAGGGGAGGCAGAGATGGGAGGTGGCATGTCAATCACAGAATATCAGGGCTGGAAGGGACCTCAGGAGGTCATCTAGTCCAACCCCCTGCTCAAAGCAGGACCAATCCCCAGACAGATTTTTGCCCCAGATCCCTAAATGGCCCCCTCAAGGATTGAACTCACAACCCTGGGTTTAGCAGGCCAATGCTCAAACCACTGAGCTATCCCTGGGGTGCAGAGAAAAGAGCCCAGGAGTCAGACCCCCTTGCCATGACTCACTGGCCTTTCCTCCATCGGCTCTTACCCTGCATGGACTGAACCAGGTTCTTCACAGTGTCTGGCCGCACGCTGAGCGCGGCGCATTTCTCCATCAGGACGGGGGGGATGTGGTTGTACATTTCCAGGTTATCCACCGTCTCGGGGTCCAGCTGCATGGAGTCCATGAACTGGCTGCAGACAGAAAGCAGAGCCCTCTGAGCAGTGGGAGAACCCTTCCCAGACACAGCCCCGCCACCCCTGGGCTGCAGACACGGGTGCCAGTTTCTTGGAAGCAGGATCATGGTTCTCAGAAATGAGACACTGGAAGGATCCCAAAGGGCTTTACAGAACGCGCACCCCATGGTCACCTCCGCCAGCATGGAAATGCAGCTGCCTCTGGGGAGGAGCACGACAGCACACACCGTACGACACAGCTCAGGACAGGAAGGGAAGGTGAGCTCCACACAAAACCGCAGGGTGAATCCAGAGAGGCAAAATGTAATAACCCAAATTGGAACTGGGCCTGAATGCAGGGTTAATACCCCAGCTATTGGGAATGGGCCATGGGAACGGTGGGGTCCGCCAGTGCCTTGGTTTCCATATCTTCCCAAAGGAGAGCTCCAGCAGCACAGCGCCCTCTAGGGCAGTGGCTCAGTACTGACTCAGAGAAGGGTAGCATGTACCGAATCACCTGCCCCATTTCCTTCAGTGCCTTGGGTCACCTTGGAGACCTGCCGTCCCACCAGGCCAGGTCAGGGGGAGGCGATCTTGCATTGGGCCATGGCTGAAGGGAGCAGAGCTCACTTCCCGTTAGCTGGGATAGGGAAACACAGAACAGCGATGCAATGGGGGATCCCTGCAGTGTCGGGTCTGCATTGGCCAGGGACCAACTCCATCCGCACCCGCGAGGAAAACCCCACGCGCCAGCGCAGTCTCAGTGCACACGTACTCCAGGACTTCGTTCTTGGCCTCGATCTTCGCCATCACTTCTCTCAGCAGCTTGGCCTTCTCCTCACTAGGACAGACGAGAGAAACCCCTCAGCACCCAGGCCAACCAAGGTACTTACAATCACTGAGCCCTGTGCCGGATACCCTGCTCAGGACTTGAACCTTCCTTGGCCCCTCCGGGAGCAGGCTGAGCCAGCCCTATGGCTAGCCAGGGGCCAGCACTGCCCTGCTCCAGGAGCTCCCGGAGAGCCGGGCTGGAAGGAGCGGGCAGGCGAGAGCTGAGGGAGAAACACTCAGGACCGGAGATGCTGGAAGGGCCCTTTCAGGGCAGGCACAGCTGAGCGTACAGTTTCGGCTGCTCCACTAGAAGGTGCTGGGGACCCAGCCCCTGGGGAGGAAGGGGGTGGGGGGTTCGGATTTGTTTGGGGAGGTCTCTCCCGGGAGTTCAGCCTCCTGCAGTTCCCATTCACCTGCAGCGTGCTGAGTGCCGGACGCGTCCTCATCACCCACCACATGACCCAGCTCGAGAGAGCGTGCCAGGGAATCACTGGCCCCAGCTTCCTGGCCCCCGAGGCAGGATCCGCACCCTCCCGTTACTGAGTGCAGACACCCCGGGGCTGCCTCGGGAAGTACTTGCTACGGAGATCCCTTCCACTCACCTGTACAGCGAAGATGCCTCATGGGCGGCCATTGGCACCAGCTTGGCAAAGATATCCGGGCCCGTGACAGCTGGGTCGGTGGGGTTGACGGGAAGGGCCTTCACCAGGGTGGCACCTGGGTATAGAAGAGAACAGTCTGACACGGATGCCTGCGAATTATTCTAGTCAAGGGCACGGCACTTCCCTTCATGCCCAAGGCTGTTTTTCGGGCTGCACCTGCCACCAAAACGCAGCCAACAGCTGTTCGCCTCCAGCAGGTGCTATGGAGACCCTGGGAGCAGGAAGTTCCTAGCGTGAGCGGCATCAGTGGTGCTAAGGGGTTAGAGACTGGTACCAAACCCACCTGTGCTACTGGGGCAGCGTGTTCTCATCGCTGCCCATTACCAAGATACCTGTGCAAAGTACGCAGTGCTTCCCTTTCAGAGCGCCGTCTTCCTCACTCGCTGATCACCACCCCCTCACTCCCGCCCTGCACAGTCCGGGCTCTGGGCGGAAGGTTTATGCACCAGCCATGGCGTGGTTTTGCAGAGCTGTGGGCAGCAGCAGAGGGATGGATGTGCCCAACCTGCCTCACCTTTCACTGACTGCAGGGTGTCCAGCGCAGGGACAGCTTCGTGGTAGATGAAGTCATTGTCCTTTTTGGCCGAATTGTACCTACAAACAATTGAAGTGTAAATCCAGGGAGGGGAAGGGGGACCCGGCTGGGACTCAAGGAGTGAGCTTGCTGGGTTAGATGGGCAGGAGCCTCAAGAGAGGTGTTTTGCTGCCCACCTGGTGCCCCCAGAAGACACTATCTCTATTCTACAGGCTGATCTTCACCTGCCAGTCACTGGGTACAACTCCACCCAGTTCCCTCTGGGGGGAGGATGAACCATGTGTGACAGATGTTAGCTACGTCACTTAACGTGCTGCTCACGGCGCTGAGATGCTACAGTGCGGACAGCGTGAGAAGATCCTGTACAGAACAGATCTACACTCACTAGCAGCACATGTGAATTTGGCCCTATATACTGAGACCCTACAAAGAGAAGAGCTCCCCAGAGCGAGCAGAGGGGGGGAGAGATTCAGCAACGAGGTTGACCCCAGAGAGCCTAGAGACAGACTCCAGTCCCAGAAGCAATTCCGGCTGCAGACTCACTTTCCCCCGATCACATCCAGGGTGAATCGCAGGGCTTCCTGCACCGTTTCAGGCTGACCCTAGAAGAGGCACAAAACACAAGTTAACACAGCCAGTCCTGCCACATCGCTGCAGTCGATGTAACACCCTGAGCAGCCCTTTCGAATGCTGCATCCTGCTGCCCTCCACAAACTAAGCCATGACCTGAAGGCAGAAGCAGCCTGGCAACCCTCACTGCCACCCCATTTCCCCCTATCCTACTTTCAGAGCGAGCAGCCAGCGGAGATGAACAAAGCAGTGAACAGCTCAGAGCTGCAGGCTGCCTGCAGACTCTGGCAGACGCCAGCCCTTGGGTGCATTCTGGTCGCATTCTGCGGGCTGACTTGTTATTCACAACGGACAGCTGGGATTCGGAGCACCACAAGGCGGGTCAATCCTGTGCCAAACTCCTCAGCCACAAGTGTCAAACTCAGGGGCTTGCGTTCCTCTGCCACGGTGGTGATTGGCTCCTGGCCCAAGCCTGTGGAGCCAGAACACCCCAGGGGAATGCCCCCCGGGATTCAGGGCGGCCCAAGGAGTGCAGCACAAGAGGCAGTGCGATAGTGGCTAAGGCAAGAGGGACTCCCGGCTCTGCTGGTAGTTTGCTGCATGGCTCGGCATCCCATGGCCCAAAGGGAGTTTACCCCTGACTTTGGTGAGGGCAGAGACAGGCCAATGCCGAGAGCTTTACAACAGTCCACTCAGTCTCTCCAGGCCTCTGTGCAACAGAAATGCCACCTACTTCTTGTCTGCATCACGTGCCGTAAAGGGGCCAAAGTCACCAGCTGGGCAGCGGGCTCAAGTCGCTGGAGTAAAATCATGAATGAGTCTGCCCCCCCGGGCTGTAGCACACATCTGGAGTCAGTACTACAGCGAGTGGGGCTCAGATGCAGCCTCCAGTAGAAACTTAGGGCTTCACAGTGTGGACCAGGGCTGCGTTAAACTAGCAAGTTCCTTCTGTGCAATGGAGGAGGTCAGTTAAGCCCCACCCTCCCCCCATGGTCCGACATGTGTGACGCACGTAGGCTCCCAGGGGGCAGGGAAGGAGAGGACATCAAGATCCAGACTGGCCTTTACTCAGTCTTAGTGCAGCGCTAAAGCCCTATTAGACCTAGAAACCAGGAGGCACCAGAGTCTCAGCATTCACAAATCCCCAGGGCAGGAGACAGACCCCCTATTGTGCTGGAAAAGCAGGACCCTGAGCTTTCCAGTGGCAGAGGATTCATTTCAAACCCTGGACGACTGTAAGGCAGGCTTCAAAAGTCACATCATTCCAATTACCATGGCCCCACAAATTCTCACCTATTCCAGTGGCCAGTCTTCTCAGTGCCAAGAGAAAGGTACGTAGAACCTGATAGGTCTTGTCTTTCTCCCTAACCGTGCACAACTGCTGCCTATCATCAAGCAACGGGGCTTCTGCCACCTCCCTTGGTAAGTTCTTCCAAAGAGCTAGTGCTTGGAAAGTTTCCTTGAGAGCTGCTGGAGCCGGATACCAATGCTTTGCACTATCGGAAAGCCAGCCAGCCAGCCCTGCTCCAATGGCACATTCTGAAAGTGCACGAGTCACTGACTGCTACAGTCTTTGGTTGCTCACTACCAGCACACTCAATAACTGTGTTTTGGGCACTGATCCCAGAGCAGCGCCTGGAAAGTGCACTGCTAGACGCTTAGGCCCCAAACCGCCCCGATGACTGATTATGGGTTTTTTAAAGGCAATCAGTACCACAGACCAGAAAGCAGGTTACCTTTGCCAGTTTGATCGCTTCGTTGAGTTTATCCAGCGCGCTCTGGAAGTAGACAACCTGCAGAGAAAGCAGAGAGAAGTTCTGCCAAACTCCTCTACAAGCTGGGAAGGAGTCACAGGAGTACACACACACTTGCCATGGCACACACAGCCAATAGGCCACCGAACCCTGTGTAGATACCTGGGACAATCCAACGCCATTAAGTACAGCGGGGCCTTCTAAGGAGCAAATTAATAGCACAATCAAGCAACCCAGATTAAGGTACGCTGCCCATGAGACGACCATGGGACATTTTCTAGAGAAGGGAGGTACATGAGAAATGCAGTGCCACACACCACCACTTCAGCGATCCAGATACTGACATCACACGCTGCTGTTCTTCTAGCCCAGGTTCCAGAGCAGGCATTGTCTCCTCGTGGTAATGCCTGCTCTAGAACCTGCGTTTGGTGCCTGCATTGCACGGCACCCAATGGGAATCACATGGAAAATGGCAATCATGCAAGTGTGGATTCTCTTCTGACAACAGGGTTGGAAAGTCACATCCACCGGCATATACAAGCTTTCAGCCTTAACTCTACCCCTGCTGAGGGACAGCTCACTCCACGGGCAGGACACCAGCGAGGAGTTTTAGGACCAAAGAACGAACCTAGTTGGAAATTTACACAGTAACAAGAAAGATGGTGCCCGAGTTCACATGGAGTAGGGGAGGCCAATCAGCTATTTGCCCCACGGATTGGTGCAGACGTGGCAGGGGCATCCAAGTTACAGTTTAATAGACACCAAAGATTTTAATGTGTCCTTGGTATCATGGACAGGTGAGTTCCCCCAATGTAGCCCAACCTCTTCAAAGGGTTAAAGGTCAAGCCCACACGAGATGGAACTTGGTTTACAGCTGGATTGCAGGAGTATTAGCCAACCCGAAGCAGAAATAGTTTTACTTACTCGTTCTCCAAACTTCTGCTGCTCCTCAGCCTGTTTTCCCATATGCAACTGCAAAGAAACACAACCAATGATGGCAGAGGTCCTCATTCGGGGAAGGGCTCAAGAGAAACTGACTGAAGCCCTACAAAGCCAGCCAGGGGACTCACTACAGAAGACAATTTCGCCGGTGTCCATTTACACTCAGGAACTTCACGCCCATGGTGACCACCACCTCCCAGCGGGTTTAAGCAGCCGCAGCCACCCACAAGTGGAGGGACGCAAGGCCGTTCCTCTTGGGCAGCCAGGGTGAAACTCCCAATGCACAGCCTCATTAACAGGTGTGTTGTGAGCAAGACATGAGAAGTCATTCTTCCGCTCTACTCTGCTCTGGTTAGGCCTCAGCTGGAGTATTGTGTCCAGTTCTGGGCACCGCATTTCAAGAAAGATGTGGAGAAATTGGAAAGGGTCCAGAGAAGAGCAACAAGAATGATTAAAGGTCTTGAGAACATGACCTATGAAGGAAGGCTGAAAGAATTGGGTTTGTTTAGTTTGGAAAAGAGAAGACTGAGAGGGGACATGATAGCAGTTTTCAGGTATCTAAAAGGGTGTCATAAGGAGGAGGGAGAAAACTTGTTCACCTTAGCCTCTGAGGATAGAACAAGAAGCAATGGGCTTAAACTGCAGCAAGGGAGGTCTAGGTTGGACATTAGGAAAAAGTTCCTAACTGTCAGGGTGGTTAAACACTGGAATAAATTGCCTAGGGAGGTTGTGGAATCTCCATCTCTGGAGATATTTAAGAGTAGGTTAGATAAATGTCTATCAGGGATGGTCTAGACAGTATTTGGTCCTGCCATGCGGGCAGGGGACTGGACTCGATGACCTCTCGAGGTCCCTTCCAGTCCTAGAATCTATGAATCTATGAATTCTTCCCACTTACATGAGCGATAGCAGCAAAATAGTAGATCTTCATCTGCACCAGCTTCTTCCAGTCCTTCTGAATCTTCCCCAGCAGCGAGGCAGTGTCCGAGTTCTCCAAAGCCCGGCAGGCCTCTTTGTAGTAGTCCACTACCTATGTGGAGAGAAACGGTCAAGAGGTATTTCAGGGCAGAGTCACAGCAGCAGAATCCCAAGAGAAAGCCCTAGTGCCAGTTAAGAACATAAGAACGGCCACACTGGGTCAGGCCAAAGGTCCATCTAGCCCAGTATCCTGTCTACTGACAATGGCCAATGCCAGGTGCCCCGGAGGGAATGAACAGAACAGATAATCATCAAGTGATCCATCCCCTGTCGCACATTACCAGCTTCAGGCAAACAGAGGCTAGGGACACCATCCCTGCCCATCCTGGCTAATAGCCATTGATGGACCTATCCTCCATTAACTTATCTAGTTCTTTTTTTAACCCTGTTATGGTCCTGGCCTTCACAACATCCTCTGGCAAGGAGTTCCACAGGTTGACTGTACGTTGTGTGAAAAAATACTTCCTTTTGTTTGTTTTAAACCTGCTGCTTATTAATTTCATTTAGTGACCCCTAGTTCTTGTGTTAGGAGAAGGAGTAAAGAACACTTCCTTATTTACTTTCTCCACGCCAGTCATGATTTTATAGATCTCTATCATATCCCCCCTTTTTTCCAAGATGAAAAGTCCCAGCCTTTTTAATCTTTCCTCATATGGAAGCTGTTCCAGACCCCTAATCAGTTTTTATGCCGTTTTCTGAACCTTTTCCAATTCCAATATATCTTTTTTGAGATGGGGCGACCACATCTGCACGCAGTATTCAAGATGCGGGTGTACCATGGATTTATATAGAGGCAATATGATATTTTCTGTCTCATTATCTATCCCTTTCTTAATGATTCCCCACAGTCTGTTTGCTTTTTTGACTGCTGCTGCACATTGAGTGGATGTTTTCAGAGAACAATCCACAATGACTCCAAGATCTCTCTCTTGAGTGGTAACAGCTAATTTAGACCCCATCATTTGATATGTATGTTTCGGATTATGTTTTCCAATGTGCATTACTTTGCAGGAAAGTAAAGGCAGGCTGGGGTTCCGGCTGCCACACAGTGCCCAGGCATTGCAGCTTACAGGGCTCTCTCAATCAGCCGCAGGAAGGCCTGAGCCCGTGTCTTCATTCGGACAAGATCGTGTCAAGCTCAGACACTGACTAACTCAAATGACTTGACTTTTAACGGCTTAGTCTTGAAACCGTTACTCGCTTGCCCTCACGCTCTAGCAGAGAGCGAATGTTCCCCACCCTGCCGCCCACACAGTCAGCACAGCAGTGAATGTTTATAGGGATTTCCTTCTCTGCTTGCAAACCACCTCAGCTGGTTCCCGCACTTCAGAGACTCCCGTGGAGTTGTTCTTGTACGTGGCAGGGCAGCAGGAGGGGCTCTGTCTCAATCACAGTTAAGGTGCCCACAGAGTGTAGTGCAGCAGAGAAAAAGGTGCTGGAGCAGCAGAGCTCCCTGGGTAACTCACCTGGGCGCTGATCCTGGCCACGAGGAAACTCTTCCTGTTGTCCAGCATCGACTTCTCCAAGAGACACTCCTGAGCTTGGCCCTTCCAGGAAAAGCAATGGAGATGCTCAGCTCTCCCCAGAGACTTCACTGCATTCCTGGGCTCCTCAAAGTCACCCCTGCCCAACCTCAGCCAGCCCCTTCTCCCCTGCCCCAAAGGAGAGTCACTCAGCAGTGGCTCCAGCCTACCATGCAGGACAGGCCGACACAGACCAGCTTTCTGGTCTACAAGCCAGAACAGCTCCTGGGACTAGCCATGCATAGAAAGCCTCTCACCTCCATTGCCATTCAAAGCCAGCCCATCAGTGGGAACCATAAGGCACTGGCCTACATGAAGTGAGCGCATGGATTCGACCCAGTCTCTAGTGGACAAAACCCCACCGCCGCGTTGGAGGGCTCAGGTGCGAGGCCAGCACGGACAGAATGGCCTTGGAGACAGATCTCCCCTCTAACTTCCAGGGGCGAGCCTAGGACTGAGGTACGTTGGTGGGCCCACGTAGGGGACAGGGCTGCACTGGCTCTGGAGATCAGAGCTGAAAAACGTAGGTCAGCCCCTGCCAGCGCAGGGCTCTGTCTGCCCAATCCCTAGGGCTGTCAATCACACACTTCCACCACTCTTTCCCCTAGCTAAAGCGAGCTGGCCACGGAGGCTGGACTTCACCTACGCTCAGCTTAGCCCAGGTACAGCTGCAGTGCCGCTGAGCCAATAAAGCCATCTCATTTGGAGAGTCAAAATCCAAACCCTTCCTCCCTTTCAAGGCCAAAGTGCTGACCAGACAATGGTGATCAGTCTGACGCCTCCCAGAGCTGCACATGAGACTGGATAAAGCAAAGAGCATGCAAGAGGCAGGGCGCTGTTATAATGGGATCCCCTGATGCAGTAAACCAGGGCAGCTTCCTTCACACCCACCTCTACCTTTCTTCTCTACAGGGAGAAGGACAATGTCAAGGTATTTCCATCTGCTCTGTCAATAGCCCCCTCCTTGGAAATTTGAACCTACTTCTTCCCTTACCACGTTTTACTCTCCTCGATCGGACGTTTAGAACTCCCTTTGCTATTCAGGCCATTAGGCCCGAGAGTTCAGTATCCCAACCCGACAGACTGGGGACTGGACACTTTCTGAGGAAAGCGTGCAGACCCCACAACGCATGCAGCCACCCGTGCAACCCTGCGGATGGAGAGAAAAAATATTCCTCTTGCCCCCGTGGGGATCAGTGTATGTCCTGGAGCCGGACACACGATTCCTCCCCTACCACAGTGCTCTGGGATCTCTCCTGAACAAGGACAGACATCGGAAGCCTCTCTTGGCCACCTTTTGCAGACAGACAATTTCCCTCTAAGCAGACAGCAGGCTTACAATCTGCACGTGCCAAGGTACTGGGACAACTCCATCTTTATCCAGCTCTGTCCAAGGGTGGCTCCCACTCCAACTGGCCTTTGAAAAATGAGACAAGGCTAGGCCCAATACCAAGCGCGTCTCCTCCTCCCCTCGCCAGCTTTGGTGAGATCCCTTTAAATGAACTGCATCTAACGAGCCCAGCCACTGGATCCCAGCATGAATGGTGAGCAGCAGCAAAGCCAGCGCCCACCCTTACCAGCATGAGGTTGATGTTGAGGTTAAGGATCTGGTGACTCATGTCCACGCTGTAGGAGTGAGGGAAGTGATCCCGCAAGTAGGTGAAAGCCCCAGCCGCGCACTGGAAATGGGTGCAGGAAACCTTCATACCCTGGCCAGGGCCGCCGCAGAAGGGGGAGAAGAAACATGTAAGGCTCTAACCCACCCAAGCCAAAGCAGAGGGCACTGCACAGAAGCCATGCTGTCTTGACGCCCGAAATTTACCAACAGCCTTCATTAGTGGACTTAAACCCCAAATGTTACCATCTTAAGTGGAGTTCAACCTTCTCCTGTCCCAGTTGTCCAGGCTTTCATCACCTGGAGACTGGATGACCATGACACTCTACATGGGGTGACCCCATGAGACCACTCAGACTAGCGGGGGCCAAAAGCAACTGCTGCTTATTACAGCCAGAAAGTAAGTTACCCCCTTGCTCTGGCTGCCATTCGGTTCCCAGACGGGGCTGGTGGGATTTTCAGCTGTGAAGTCCTACATGGCTTGGGAGCTAGTCAGTAGAGGGACTCTCTTCCCAGGCGATGCTTCCATAAGCAAGGTCAGCTGGGAGCTCCCCAGGCCAGGAGAGGAGGGAGTGGCTGGCAGAACTCTCCAGGAGAGGTCCTTGCCATCAGGGTATGTGGCGTGGCCCGGCCCATCTTTTCCAGGCATCTGCTCGGAGGGTGGGGGAGGGTCTGTTATTGGCTGGAGGGAAGATTGCATGTGGGGTCACATTGGGGTGTTAAATTACGTCAAGGTGCCCAGAGCTTGCCGCAGGCACTGCTATAACTATACACTATGTCAAGAAAAATCCTGTATTCATCCCTCTCTCCCAGTCCCAGGAATCCCAGCACCTGGCACGAGCGATACAAAATCTTCAGACTGCAGCGCAGTTTTTGAAGGGATCGTGCCCCTGGAAACGTGACCAGTCCCCTCCGGAGATTCACAATCGCTACTGAAAAGACTCGCCACCCTGCCAACCTTTGTGCTCTCATCTGTTTGGAAGAAACCACCCATGATAAGGTGGGGCGGACCACGAGGTGTTTAGCATCTTTACCTCCTCGGAGACTCTCTTGTCCATGGCGCCCAGCATGGAATGCAATGCCCCTGTTGGGAACAGGAAGCTCAGATCAGGCCACTGGCAAAGTGTGCAAGGCCATTTTTCACAGACCCCTAAACCCCCCGCTCAGCCACAAGCCTTGCCCCCACTTCACCCCATCCCTCAAGGCCCCACCCCCTGCCCCTCCTCTTCCCTGTCTCTTTCCACCCCCTCCCCTGAGCACGCCCTGTCCCCGCTCCTCCCCTCCCTCCCACACGCTCCTGAACAGCTGTTCCCCCAGTGTGCAGGAGGCACTGGGAGGGAGGGGGACCCCCAGGGGTCCGGAGCCCAGTTTGAGAAATGCTGACCTACACCATTTTAATCCTTGCTGATTTTGATTGTTGATCTCTCATTGCACTAAACTGCACCTATTTACATGAGGGCTAAACCGGTTTAAGTACAACCAGCTGGGTTTGCACTAGCTGAATTAAATCAATTTCAAATTGATTTAATTAAACGGGTGCAACTTTTCTCCTAGACAAGGCCTGGATTGGCCTGCGGGGGAGGGGGACGCATGGTGATGCTCTGGCTTGTCATTCGTCGATCACAATGAAGGGAAGAGCCCTTTGGAGCTGACCCTGAAGATCAGCCTCACCTGCACCAGCAGATGCCCAGGCTGAAGCCTCACTTGAGGGTCTCGTGCCAGGGTTCAGATCTGGCTGGCGTTCTAGTGGCCAGCAGAATCCGTCAGAGCCAAGGAAACAGGGGCTCAATTGTCCTCAGTGATCATGGTAACACTTCAAGACGTCATGGCTCTGCTCTCCCAAGGCCCAGCACTTCCAGCTGCGGGCAGCTTCATGCCGACTGTCACCACTGGCTGCCTGCTCTGAGCTGTGATCACAGAAAGGCCTGCGGGCAGATCGGCTGAATGCCCCTGCAGCGGTCACCCCCTCCTTCCCCCCCACTGAACAGCAGGATCAGGCTGGACAATGGCCCCTGTGGAGTAGGGAACGAGGGCTAGCCAGGGAGGAGGGCATTTCTCAGGTGGGCTCCAGGGCCTTACCGAGGTTATAGAGGATGCACGCCTGCTCATACTTGATGTCCTCGTGGGTAACCGCCTTGCCAGAGAAGATCTCCGTCCTGTGAACAGAAAAGCCCAGGGTTGGTGCCTGCACTAGTGAGCCAGCCAGATGGCCAGATGCACAACCCAGCTGCTGCGGTGGCCCCACAGCCACGTTTCCAGGGAAGGCAGACAGCTAACAACTAACGGCTCAGAGCAGGCAGGGGTGATCCAAATGATTTAGACTCACTTGCCTATGTAGCTGGCACAGAGTCCACTCCAAACTGAGTGGGAGATGGGAAGCTGCTAGGTACATAAACCAGCAAACCCTGTAATGTTTGAGTGGTGCCAGGCCCAGTCTTCTTAGCCCCAAAGCCCAGCCTCCACCACTGCCGCCAGGTGGTGTAAACCAACCCCTCTTGGTCAGTCCTGTGCCCCCCCAGGGCCATCGCTGCACCCTCACGCACTGAAAGCCCAGCTGCAGCAGGAAGTGCAATCAAGGTGGCTAAAAGGACAAGGAGGGCCGCACGCCAGAGGCTGAGACTCATACGGCACCGCTCAGAGAGCCAGAGGTGGCTGCATGTCGGTAGCAGGTGGCGCAATTGCTGGCTGAGAGGTGCTATAAAAAAATCTCAGTTACTACACTGCTTCTTCCATCCCAGCCTCTCCCAGTGTGCTACAAACCTCCACTCCCCCTCACATCCCCGGGGAGGGAAATACTCTGCTCCCCGGCTTGCAGTATTAGAGCTCTCTCGAGTCAGAGGTGCGCATGGCATTCGGTGGAGAGCCTAGAGACAGGGCTCTGCCCGCAGGGCGTGCCAGGCAGGGTTAGAACAGAGACACACTGCTGGGCGAGATCACACTGGGCACCAGGGAAGGACACAGTGAGGCTGGGGGAACTGGGTCTGGGTTTGTTCCGTTGTACAGATCATTGGGAAGGCTGGCAGAGGGAGAGTCACTGGTGGCTGGACGCAGGATCAAAGAGGAGATTCCTAGAGAGGGGCAAAGGAGACGAAGCGAAGGGCGCTGGCGGAGCCCAGGGACACGAGAGATGTAGGTGGGGTGCGGATGAGCAGTATGCAGTCCAGCTGAGCCAGCAGAGGAACTTGGGTCAGGGAAGAGGAAGGGGAATATGCCTTCAGTCCATCCAGAATAGCACAGCTGGCGGCCTACGAGGGTAGGACATCACAGGAGTCTAGGCAGGAGATTACCAGGGCCAAGGAAGCTACCCACCTGGATGGGGAAATTGAGGCAAGAGACAAAGCCAGGTCATACAGTGAGTCCACTGGCGAGCCCCAGCTTCAGCTCCTCTGCTCAAAGAATCTCCCATTGGATCACGTCCAAGCCCCCAGTGTCAGCCGAGGGTGCCCTGGCAGGGGTAGATCGCTGGATGCGGGGAAGCCTGCTCCCTCCCCTGCCGCCCCACAAACCCCACCAAACCGCTGCGCTTACCATGTGACGGGCACAGCCGCCTCGTGCTCCGCGCCCATGGGGACGCGGCTCTGCAGGTAGTGAAGCTGGCCAAAGTACTTCCGCAGGATGCTGCAGCCCTCAAAGTCCCTGGGCACGCTCACGGCATTCTGGAGGAGGAGAGAGAAAGGAGCAGTGCTTCAAGGCAACAGGCAGCGCCATGCTTACAGATAGAGGGCCTGGGCTGTATTTGGCTGGCAGTGAAATCCGCTTACGTGATCGGGGGAGGGAGATCACTCCGAAATGGCTCCCCAGAGGGGCTTTCCAGGGGCCAGCTGCAGAAGCCAGGGCATTAGCCACTCTCCAGAGTGTCTGCTCTTGGCTGGGATGGAGATTCCCCTCTCCTTTCACACACCTGGGGTGGGCAGTTTCCCAATCCAGTGGTACAACTGCAACGAAGTGCTGCTTATGCCAAGCTTGGGAGAGACCTGGGGCCTCTGTTCCGGAGCTGAAGGCAGCCAGGTATGTCACCAACTCAGGAGACACCCACCACTCCACAACGCCTTCAGCCCAAGGCTTTCAAAGTACTTTGCTACATTAAATGCCAGGTGTCAGGCTGACATCTGTTCTGGGCAAACTGGGTGAAATGATCACTAAAAACAAAACACCTGGCAGCTCATGACAGAGGGACGAACCAGCACGGATTCTGCAAAGGAAAACGGACTTGCTGATCTCTTGGAATTCTCTGAGCATGTCAGGAAAGGACTGGAGAAAGGAGAATCGGCGACTATGTGCTTCGACATCCAAAAGGCCTCTGACAAGATCCCACACAAAAGGCTATCAAAGAAGCTACGTCATCATGGGGAGGAGGCAAAGTATCATGGATCAAAAACAGGCTGAGACAGAAAAAGTAGGATTCAATGGTCAATTTTCAGCACGGCAAAAGGTTAACAGCAAGGACTGCAGGTTCCGCACCAAGTCCCGTGTTGTTTAGTTGATTAATTAGTGATCTGGAATGGGACGGGGGCGAGGGGGCATGAGTTGAGAGTTACAAAACTGACAAATGACAAAGTCAAGTTAATTGGGACCAGGGAGGGCCGCAAGGGGCTTCGGAGAGAGCTAACTGAGAGGGTCACTAGCTACATATGGCCAGCAGGAACACTCAGTGCTCTTAGCATTCACAGCAGAACTGTGGAAGGGGTTTTAAATACCAATCTCTGTCAGAGATCAGGAGACCAGACAACCCACAGTCAGCAGGTGTGGGATCCTTCCACCAACACAGCTTGTGCTGCCAGAGAGGGGCTCGTGGACTAGATGGATTGAGAGTCTGATTCAGCCTGGCCGCTCCGATGTTGCTGTGTCACAGGAGGTAAGGTGATGAGCTGCGTTTTACAGATTGGGAAGAGGCAGACACAAAGGGACTTTCCTAAGATCACACAGGAAGCCAGCAGCAGAGCTCTGGATTGCACGTGTCCCAGCTCCAACCACTAGGCCACACTCCCTCAGGAGCGGTTTTCTCACGGATCTTTTACTATACCATTTTAGAGGCAGTGCAGTCTAGTGGACAGTGCACTGGACTGGGACTCAGGAAAGCTGATCTTGCTGATCTTAAACGCAAAAAAGAAGCTTACAAGAAGTGGACGATGGGACAAATGACCAGGGAGGAGTATAAAAATATTGCTCGGGCATGCAGGAGTGAAATCAGGAAGGCCAAATCACACTTGGAGTTGCAGCTAGCAAGAGATGTTAAGAGTAACAAGAAGGGTTTCTTCAGGTATGTTAGCAACAAGAAGAAAGTCAAGGAAAGTGTGGGCCCCTTACTGAATGAGGGAGGCAACCTAGTGACCGAGGATGTGGAAAAAGCTAATGTACTCAATGATTTTTTTGCCTCTGTCTTCACGAACAAGGTCAGCTCCCAGACTGCTGCACTGGGCAGCACAGTATGGGGAGAAGGTGACCAGCCCTATGTGGAGAAAGAAGTGGTTCGGGACTATTTAGAAAAACTGGACAAGCACAAGTCCATGGGGCCGGATGCGCTGCATCCGAGGGTGCTAAAGGAGTTGGCGGATGAGATTGCAGAGCCATTAGCCTTTATTTTTGAAAACTCATGGCGATCGGGGGAGGTCCCGGATGACTGGAAAAAGGCTAATGTAGTGCCCATCTTTAAAAAAGGGAAGGAGGAGGATCCGGGGAACTACAGGTCAGTCAGCCTCACCTCAGTCCCTGGAAAAATCATGGAGCAGGTCCTCAAGGAATCAATTATGAAACACTTAGAGAAGAGGAAAGTGATCAGGAACAGTCAGCATGGATTCTCCAAGGGGAAGTCGTGCCTGACTAACCTAATTGCCTTCTATGAGGAGATAACTGGCTCTGTGGATGAGGGGAAAGCAGTGGATGTGTTATTCCTTGACTTTAGCAGAGCTTTTGATACGGTCTCCCACAGTATTCTTGCCGCCAAGTTAAAGAAGTATGGGCTGGATGAATGGACTGTAAGGTGGATAGAAAGCTGGCTAGATCGTCGGGCTCAACGGGTAGTGATCAATGGCTCCGTGTCTAGTTGGCAGCCGGTTTCAAGCGGAGTGCCCCAAGGGTCGGTCCTGGGGCCAGTTTTGTTTAATATTTTTATTAATGATCTGGAGGATGATGTGGACTGCACTCTCAGCAAGTTTGCAGATGACACTAAACTGGGAGGCGTGGTAGATACACTAGAGGGTAGGGATCGGATACAGAGGGACCTAGACAAATTAGAGGATTGGGCCAAAAAAAACCTGATGAGGTTCAACAAGGACAAGTGCAGAGTCCTGCACTTAGGACGGAAGAATCTCATGCACTGCTACAGACTAGGGACCGAATGGCTAGGTAGCAGTTCTGCAGAAAAGGACCTAGGGGTCACAGTGGACGAGAAGCTGGATATGAGTCAACAGTGTGCTCTTGTTGCCAAGAAGGCTAACGGCATTTTGGGCTGTATAAGTAGGGGCATTGCCAGCAGATCGAGGAATGTGATCGTTCACCTTTATTCGACATTGGTGAGGCCTCATCTGGAGTACTGTGTCCAGTTTTGGGCCCCACACTACAAGAAGGATGTGGAAATATTGGAAAGAGTCCAGCGGAGGGCAACAAAAATGCTTAGGGGGCTGGAGCACATGACTTATGAGGAGAGGCTGAGGGAACTGGGATTGTTTAGTCTCCAGAAGAGAAGAATGAGGGGGGATTTGATAGCTGCTTTCAACTACCTGAAGAGGGGTTCCAAAGAGGATGGAGCTCGGCTGTTCTCAGTGGCGACAGATGACAAAACAAGGAGTAATGGTCTCAAGTTGCAGTGGGGGAGGTCTAGGTTGGATATTAGGAAACACTATTTCACTAGGAGGGTGGTGAAGCACTGGAATGGGTTACCTAGGGAGGTGGTGGAGTCTCCTTCCTTGGAGGTTTTTAAGGCCCGGCTTGACAAAGCCCTGGCTGGGATGATTTAGTTGGGAATTGGTCCTGCTTTGAGCAGGGGGGTTGGACTAGATGACCTCCTGAGGTCCCTTCCAACCCTGATATTCTATGAGTCTATGAAAGCTGGGGGCTCTTCCTGGCTCTGTCACTGACCTGCTGGGTGACCTCAGGCAAGTCACTTTCCCCCTTTGTGCCTCTGTGACCCCTTTCACCCTCTCTCAGTCTGATCCATTTCGGCTGCCAGCCCTCCAGGGCAGGGACCATCTCTCTGAACAGTGCCTAGAACAATGGGACTCCGATCTCAGCTGAGCCTCAAGGCACTGCTGGAGCACAAACGAAGGAGAGATTCCCCTCCCAGGAAGGGATTGACTCTGGGAAAGCAGAGACCCTGCCATGGGAGCTGGGCAGGAAAAGCGTTACATTTTTCCAGCGGAGAGGAATGCACTCACTCATCACTCCCACGCCGAAGCAATCGCTCACCAGCGTCAGCGCTCAGCCCCAGCCTTACGGGAAACGGCTGGCGCGCTCTCTCCGCAGCACAGCCACACAAACAGAAGAGAGCAAACCTCTCCCAGCACAAGTGCTAACTGCAATGCTCCATCAGCCGGGCAGCAAGGCGCTGGGATCCAGCCGTGCTGCCCTTAGTGACGCGCTTGGCTTGGCCTGGCGCGGAAGTTTATTTCTGTGCCAGGCCAAGCTGCTCCTTAGTACCCCCACCTCAGGGCTCCGCACACACGGAACAGGAGAAAGCTAATGGCACAACCCTGAAGTTTTTCCCTCTGGGTTTTCAAGCGGGTCAGGTGAGTGCGGTCACTCCGGCTGGGTTCGCTGCACTGCTGCTGCCGGAAGCGGGCGCGAAGACAGTCCCGCGTGGTTACCCTGAAAGGTGTCTTGCAATGACCGGCTCCGTTTATCCACAGCAACGAGCGCGTTGCCTCCCCTGCGCTGCCTCTCTCCAGGGCAGCTGGGTTTCCACGGCCCATTCAGTCCTGGGCCTCTCTGCAGGGAGCGCCGCTGAGCTCACGGACGCCTGTCAGCTGGGGGGAATGTCACTTCACCACATGATGGAGAAGACTGGCTGGGAGCCGACCTGGCCCTCAAGATGTGAACGACGTAATCACCCCATTACCAATTCCCCGGGCCAGACAGCCCTCTCCGGCTTTGCCTGCCTGCATTTCGGGTTCCGCTGACACTGGCGCACGAACTCCAGTGCCTGGCTTGGCTGGAAACGTCCCTCCATCCCATGGTCCTTCTCCAGCTGATGAGCTCAGCTGTTGTGAGTGGCGCTGACCTTATCACAGCACCCCACAAACGTCTCTGGGAACTCGCGTCAGCCACCCACAACAGCTCAGCTCAGGGAGTTCACATCACAGCCACCACTGAAGGCAGCTCCTTCCTCTAGGTCCCTGGTTCGACTCCAGAGGGGGCCAGCAGCAACCACTGATGGCTGGGCTGGGCGGCCCTGCAAAACCCAGGGCCACAGAGGGTGGGAGCCTACAGCATCTCTGCCGTCCGGGAACCCTGCCCAGCCCTCCTGCTCCCACCACCATTTACCTGCCTCTCCCCCAGCCCTGTCTACGATGTGCCTCTCCGGGCAGCAGGGACAGGGGCAGCATGGGGGTGGGGGCACGGAGGGGCCTTGTCACAATTCCCCACTGATCCCACCCCCCCTCGCAGAAGGACCTAGCCTCCCTGCCCCCACTAAGGAACCTCCTCTCCCCCCAATCTCATGAGACCCCCCCAGTGCTGAGCTTTGTGCTGTTAGGGTCTAACCACAGTAACTGCAGGGACTGCCCAAGGAGCTGGGGTCCAAGTAGCCGTAGGGGAGCCTCAAACTCCTTCCCACCGGAGGGGCTGCTGCTGTGTGTGTGATGAGTTGGGGGTGTCCCAACGGACCGGTGTCCACAACACTGAACACCCCCCCACACACACACAAATGGCACCGCCAGGCCCCCTTGTTCACACTGACTCCAGCACCGAGCAGGCCACGGAGAGCGAACCGAGCCAATCGCCCCACCCCTCCACGGGCACATTGGCAGGGGGCGCGGGAGGTGGGCACCCCCGCTGCTGCCCATGCAGCTGGAGGGCCGTAGGCTCCCGGGCTGGGGCTCCTTCACCTGTATTCAGGTCACACTGTGCCTGGGATCCCTCCCAGCAAGGCAGTGGAAGTTTCACATGTAGAAAGCTTCCCCTCCCCTTTACCGCTTGGCACTGGAGGGCCACGGGTGCGGGAGCAGACACCAGCACACCCACCATAGAACCGTGGGCTCTACCTCGTGGGCTGCGGCCAGGAGATCTGGATTCTGTTCCCGGCTCAGTCGCTGGCCTGCCCTTGGGTGAGTCACTTTCCCTGCCGGCCTTTGTCAGCCCCAGCTATACTGTGCGCTCTGGGGCAGGGACCGTCTCCCCGTGGGACTGCCCCGCCGCGTAGCACCATTACACACAGCACAGCGCCAGCACACACTTACCTGCCGGAGCAGTTCAAGTTTCTTCAGCTCTTCATTGTAGCTCTCGGGATTCTCGCCATAGTTCTTCAGAACAAACTGGAGAGAGAAAAAACCTAAATCAGAGCTCGTGTCTGGGACTGGTGCGGAGAGGAGAAATCGAGAACCATTCCCCGGAGCAGAGCTGCCCTGGCATTGCCGGCGCGAGCCAGACAGCAAGAGGGGCAGCGGAAACCCCTATAAAGGGTGGCAGAGACACTCGGGATTGGGCTTTCGGGGTGTTGCACAGGGCAGGCTGTTTCTGGCTTCGCTGAGGGAGAGGGGCTCAGAGCAGGAGACTGAAAGCCCCCCTGCAAGGCCAGTTCCCTGCGTTGCCCCCACACAGCCAGTCAGCCCACAGCACATGGAAGCCACCTCCAATTTGAAGGAGCCAGTGTATTTCCTCAGATAGTGGGTGCCCCTACTTCCCTGCAGCCGTCAAGTCAGAGCCAGGCGTCTTGCAGAAGGAGCTCTGCAGCCTGAGCTGAGCTGGGCACACCCAGCCCTGGTGAAACACCCCTCAGCCCACGAAGTCATTGGTTACAGACCCAGCCTGCAGACCTGTTCCCTCCTGTGGCCAAGGCTTAGCAGGGACCGCAGCTGATCTTTGACTTGAGCAGCCATATTCAGCGTGAGCGGCCAAGGAGAGCGTGCTGCCAAACGTGAATCTGCAGCAATCGGCCACCAGTGCCCGGGGGCCGGGTCTGCTCAAGAAGCAACACATGCTGCATCTTCACTTGTCCAGCCAGGGGCTGAACAGGGGAAAGGTTTCATCACAGCTTCTTGTCCAATGGAGCCACGCAGGCCCGGGCTGCCAACCTTTCATCTACAGGTCTGCCACGGCTACTGGGAGCTGCACACTTGTTAAGGTTCAGAAGTGCCAAGCCAGGCTCCCAGATACCTACAGGACACTTAATAGGGTAAGACAGACCCATGTGTAACTATCAACCTATGCACCCTCCTCCAGCTTTCCCGTCACATTCCCCTTCTCCCCTCCCCACCATGGTAGAGTCTAGGTCAGATGGCAAGATCCTCAGGGCAGGGATCTTCTCTCTGATTTGCCTGTAAAGCACCATGCACTATGTAAATCAAAACCGATAGGGGCTCTCTTCTCCGCTGGGCCCAGTAAAGCACCCTACCCCTATGTCTGATGGCGCTCATTCTCTCATTTCCCCCCAGCAGCCAGGCCTGAATTGTTCCTGCCTGCGTAGCCTCCAGTGCTTTACCCAGCCCAAGCTTAAATGATGACTGCCTTTCCTCAGAGTTCAGCCCCAACGCCGCTCAGCTCTGAAACGCGGCCACCTCTGGGGTGAAACACAGCAGGTGTTTATCAGCGCACAGCAACGTGAGAATACAGATTCAAAGAGAATCTGCAGGGAAGAGTCGGGAGACAAAGGTAGTTCTCAGAACTGAAATCCGTCCAAGACACTGGAGGTAACACAGCCCCTGGGATCTTGAGCGAACACACGTGGCCAGCACCGGGAAAGACGGTGCCCCCAGCAGCACAGTACCCCCAACACCACGCCGAGGTGTGGACGCGGTCCTGACTCGAGAGCGAGGAGAGCCAGCGAGCCATCGCCTGTAAAATCTTGGGCATCCTCCCACCGCAGCCAACCTCACATAGCTTGGATGAGCCAATGGGGTCGCAGCACAAGGAGCCACGGCTGCTGGCTACATGCACTGGCACTGTCTGCGCAGCGCCGCAGCACCACATAGGTCCTGAGCAGTGCAGGTGACTTCTCCAGGAGAGACGCCTGCAGCGGGGTACTGATCTGCTGTTCACTGCACAGAGCACCTGAGGGACCGTCTATTTCTTGGGTGCCCGCAGGCGCCGGATGTGGCGTGCTCCCATTAGGGGTGTGCACTGCACTCCGGCAGCTGGTTAAGGAACAGCACTGCTCACACAGAGGACAGGGCTTGCTTTCCGGGCCCCACAGAATGTAGCAATGCCACGGGGGGCAGGGAGCATTCCGCAGACATGACACTGACTAGAGCAGCAAGTGAGAGCCTTCGGAGCTACACACACAGCTGCGTCTGGCAGCCCCTGGCCTGGGCAGGGCCAGGACTCCACTAGAGTCCAGTCTAGTGGCCAGCAAAGGAGACTAGGAACCAGGACACAGGGAGTCTATTTGTGGCTCTGGCACTGACTTGGCACGGGGCTTCGGGCAAGCCACTCCCTGTTACATGAGGAGGTCCAGCACGCAGAGGGGGGTAGCAGGGTTGTGGGGCTTAACGAAGGCTCTGAGCTCTCCGAGATCCCCAGCCAGTGCTACAGGACAGCAAAGGATTGTGAGAGCAATGCTCAAGGGAAGAGGGCCCAGCCAGGCCCAGCTGGCTGCAAACCAGCTGGAGAGAGACTCTTGAAGGACAATGTCCTTGTTAGAGAGACTGAGGCTGGTGATTGCAGACACGTACTGCCCTTGACTGAAGGGACACAGCTCCACACTGGCTAGAAACCGAGCTGCCTGCTGTGGTTTGGGGAAGGGGCTGACACCAGCTAGAGATCTGTGGGGGACCAGCCGTCTTTTGGCAAACGTAGGGTCCGGGTGAATAACAGGCTGGGGAGACTCGGCAGCCGCAAGGCTGGCAGACAGCACTTTGCACAGGGATAGCCAGGGGAACGTGCTGCAGAACCATCATGCCGGGTGGAGGGCCAGGATCCCTGACGTCCCACACAGGGGCACTAAGTGAGAGAGGTCAATGGCTCTCTGAAGGGGAGCTGAAGAATCGGCAGCCTTCCCAGACTCTGGGGGAAAAAGGATTTCTCGGGGAGAGGGAGCAGCCTGAAAAATCAGAACTGAACACAACGTACCTGGCAATACCCCGCACACTTACCCAGGCCCGGTTCCTAGATCCCAGAGGGCTTTCACAAGCACCCGCCCAGGGTGGGCAAGTCAATCACATGGTACAGACCCAGAGGTTGAGCAGCTTGCCCCAAAGACACACAACAAAGGCAGGACTAGACAGCAGGAATCCCACGCCCAGTGGCCCTGCTGTAACCATTACATTGCACTGCCTCCTGTGACATCTGGTGGGATGAGTCACATCAAAGGCTCCTAAGTCTGTGTCACAAGGTCCGTAGGATGAAGAGAAAAGCAACTAACTGCAGGCCGTTCCCACCCACGGGCAGAGCACAGTTTATGGGGAGATTGCCCCTCACCGACGCCCGCAGACTGCACTGGGCAGGAGCCAGCGCATTCAGACTCCCAGCACTGCTCATCTGCCACTCCAGTTCCAAAGAACATTAGGAAAGTCCACATTTCATCAGCCACAAGCACTCCAAGGAATGATACGGGGCAATGAGGCTGATGGCCCTGCAGTACTAGCAGGAGCCAGAAGAGGGGGCTATGCCATCCAGAGGAAAATGCTTTTCGTGACAAGTGAAGACGCCTGATCGCACAGACATCCTATGAAATCCATAAGGCTCTCAAGCTGCAGCTCAGCCATTAGGGAAGTACAGGAAGCCTTTCACCCTGCAGCTACAAGGGCAATGGGGTAAGAGGCTGGGCAGGAGGGTCCCGCACACACAATGGGAATAGCTCAGCAATCTAGTCCGAGTGAGAGAAACCTCTGCCCTCTAGGTCACTGGGTTCAAATCCAGCCCAGCCCAGCCATGACTCACAGCTGTTACCATTCCCAACCGCTCACTGACCCGGATGTCGTGAGCTGGTGGCTTCAGTTCTTTCTTAAGGGTGGATAAAAACAAAACAATTTGTTTGAAAACAAAACAATTTTTAAATAGGGGATTTTGACTTAAATTGGATATTTTGATCTTGTTATTTAAATTATCGTTCGTTTTTTTCTTTTAAAAATAAGCCTGCTTAAAGTGAAATCTGAATCTAATACAAAATATGTGAAGGCCTAAAATTATAATCTCAGAACATTTAAATAAATAATTACGCTGAATCCATGAGCCTCTGTCAAAAACTTTGAGTTAAAGGCTGCTTTTCTAGATGAAGAAGAATCAGGGGGGAAACTTTGGAGGTCAAGATTTATAAATATGGCACAACAGGTCAGCCTAGTAACTTAGGAGACTGTCTCGTTTTCAAGAGACTTAGGCAAGTAGGAACTTAAGCTCCAGTCACTTTCATTCAGGCATATTTGAAAATGTTCCCAGGCTGACCCGAAATAATCAGTTGAATTCACCGCCTACAGTTAAGCCCTCTGTTTAATAAATCATTTAGCTGGAAATGTGAAATAATGTGTTGATAAGTTTAGGTATCCAAAACTTTTAAGGTTTTGTTTAATCAAAATAAATGTTATATTCTGTTGTATGTTTAACTAAACTCCAGTTTCCATCCTAATGCAGCTTGACAACATGAGCAAAAAGTTACCTAGGAAATGAGCAATACCTCATTTACCTTTTCTAACATACTAAAAATCTACAATGAAAGAGAATCTGAAAATATTAAGCTATATAATTGCTTAAATAAGTGTATATATAGTTATACTGTATCCTCCTAGGTAGCAAAAATAGGTACCAAATCCAGCGTAAAGGCTGTTTCACTGCAAATCAACATGTTTTAATGGTTAGATCAACCTAAGACAATGCACCTCTCTTTCGAACCGGGATCCCCAAACTGTGCAGCCGGGGCCTGGGCCAACGTCCATGGGAGGCAGCACCATGCTTCCAGCCCCACTCCGCCCCCAGACCAGCTCCACCCTCAAGCCACGCTCCTCCTCCAGCCCCCAGACCTGCTCCGCCTCCAGGCCCAGCTCTGCCCTCATTCTCTCTCCACCCCCAGAGCAGCTCAGCCTCTACCCCAGCTCCTCCCCCATTCCCGCCTCTAGCCCCAGCTCTGCCTTGGCTGTGCGGTAATGGAGGGGGTGTGGGGACGGATTCCGTTAATGGTAAGGGTGGGCGCGACTGGAAACGTTTGCACACCACTGTGTTAGAATAACGGAGGTACACATGGAAAAGTTGATTAAAATAGATGCTTTCAATCCAGGCTTTCCACTTGGTGATTCAAATCATCACCTTGATATAAACCAACCACCTCGAGAGCTGTGCCCACCACAAGCAGCCCCCTCATAACAGGTGCAGCAGAAGGCCATGGAGA